GGGCACCCCGCCCCCGCCGCAGCTCGGAGCAGGACCCGGAGCACCGGGGGCAGCACCGGCTCCGAGCTCACTGCGGGGGGGACGCGATTCCCCCTCCCCGACCGCCTCGTCCAGGGGCTGAAGCCTCTTCAACAATTTTCCGTTCCCGGAGAGCGGCGCTTGGGTGGCAGAGAGGGTTCGGAGCCGTTGGGGCTTCCTGCAACTCCTTCGGCTCGGCGGGGAGGCCCCCGCTCCGTCCTAAAGCAAACCTACAGCTGATCATTTTGAGGCCGAGGAGCGTGGGAGCAGGTCAGCTGCGTTCCCCGGAGCCTCGCACGGCCCTGGCCCCGCCGGGGGTTGCTGCTCCCCCGGAGCCCGGCAGCCAGCACCCCGGCACTGAGCCGGCGCGGTCGGTCACAACATTTTGGTGCTAAGACTGACCCTGTGTGGCATTAAATAGCCAGAAGGTTTAATGCTGTGATGAGCCGGAGCGTGCGGTGGGGGCTGGCAGCTCCGCGCGGGCAGAGTTAAGGGTAACGCGTGGTGGGTGCTGCCAGCTGTGGGTGGAAGCGGCCACAGTCCCCTGCCAGCAGTGGGGATGCTGCAAGGGGTGCCGCGGGGCCTGAGCCCACCTCCCCCCCCAGGCCCTGCAGCTGGGGACGGTGCTGGTGGGATCCCCCACGCAGGATGGGACCATCTCCATCCTCACCACCTCGGCGGAGGCGGACGAGCCCCACAGCGTGCAGTTCCCGGCCCCCCGCCAAGGCAGCCCTCTGCGCCTGGGGCAGCCTCGCTGGGCCAACTACGTCAAGGGCGTCATCCAGCACTACCGGGGTAAGGCCCAGGCTGCTGGGCGGCGTAGAGCCGCCCTCGCGCGGGGCCGGTGCTCGGCGCCCGGCTTTTGGTGTGCTCCAGGGGCTCTTCCAGTGCCGGTACAATCCTGGGGCCAGGCGCCAGCAGAGGCGCTTTCAGCTCCAAAGGTCACCCTGCCTTTTAAAATGGGATATCGGGCAGGGGCTCCTCTCCCTCAGTTCCCCGCCAGCTGTGGGGCACGGCCCCCTGCCTCCCTTCTCTTCCCGCAGGTGGTCCCGTGCCGGGCTTCAGCGCCGTGGTCGCCAGTGACATCCCCCTGGGCGGGGGCCTCTCCAGCTCGGCCGCTCTGGAGGTGGCTGCCTACACCTTCCTCCAGCAGCTCTGCCCCGGTAAGGCAGCAGCCGCTCCTGGCCCCGGCGTTCCCGGGTGGGTGCCAGGATGAGGGGGGTGCCCTCAGCAAGATCCCGCAGCCCCCGGGGAAATGCCGCTGTGGGGTGGGTCACAGCCCCCCGCCGCAGCCGGAGCTGGCACCACCGTGGCTGCGGGGCTCCTCCGGCTCACCCAGCCTGACCTGCCCATGCCTCTAAAGCCCACGGCCCACCCCTGGGGCTGGTGGGGGGAAGGAGAGGGTGTTCCCCTTGGGAGCATCTTCTTCCCACTCTCATATCCCCAAAAATGGAGAGATCTGAGACACCAGTGTCAAATTATCGCATCCAGCTGGACCTGGGGACCCGTGCTCGCACAGATGCTGTGCACTGGTGCGGGAGCAAGCGCCTGCAGCTGATGCTTTAGCAAAACCCCGGTCCATGGGAAAGCAACCCTTTCCCTTCACGTTTGCTCCTCCTGCTCCAGGGCAAGGGGCGAAGGTCCCAGAGCTGCTAACCTCCATCTCTCTGCTCTGGCACAGATGACGGTGATATGGTAGCCAAGGCGCTGGCGTGCCAGAAAGCGGAGCACACATTTGCCGGCATGCCCTGCGGGATCATGGACCAGTTCATATCCGTGATGGGCAAGGAAGGCCACGCACTGCTCATTGACTGCAGGTCAGGGCCGAGCGCCGAGCTCGCTGCGCCGTGCCCACCTCCTCGGGCGGGGGGGCCGAGCTGGTCCCGTGGTCATGACATAAATGCAGGAGTGCAGGGAAGGGTTAACCCCTGAACTCAGCCCAAAATGTCATCCTGGGGCTGGGCTTCCCTGCATTTTAATTCTTGTGTCTTGATTCCTCCTCCCGCATCCTTTCTGCTACTTGCCTGGGCTCTTTCCCGCAAAGTCGTCGGGGTCTATTATGGGACTAATAATTGGGAGGGAGTGAAATGCTCGAGCAAAACCCTAAGCCACTTGGACTTTGCGGAGGCAGGAGCTGCCTGCTGCGTGGCCTCACCCGGGGGGCCGAGGGCTGGAGCGGGCGGGGGGACGGGCACATGGCCCCCACTGAGCTCTCGCTGCAGGTCCCTGGAGACTGTCCTCGTCCCGCTGACCGATGCCAGCTTGGCCGTCCTCATCACCAACTCCAACGTGCGGCACACGCTGACGGGCAGCGAGTACCCCACGCGCCGGCGGCAGTGCGAGGAGGCGGCAGCGGCGCTTGGCAAGGCCAGCCTGCGAGATGCCACCATGGCCGAGCTGGAAGGTGGGGACGGTCCCTCCCTTGCCTCTGGCTGCTCCTCGGGGCAGCGGGAGCTCAGTGCCCCATGGCGTGGGCTGAGACCGTGGGGCAGCACCTGGGACGGCTGGGTGCACGCACCGGGATGGGACCGTGCTGCAAGTAGAGAAGCTCTGGCATGGGATGGTTGCAGGATGCGGCTGTGCTCGTCCCCAGCAGCATCCCGCAGACCTGAGCGGCTCTGCTGCAGGGGCATGCGTGTCTCCGCAGCTGCCAGGAGCAGGCTGGGCGAGGAGGTGTACCGGCGGGCCAGGCACGTCATCGGCGAGATAGCACGGACAGCCCAGGCAGCGCGAGCGCTGCAGGACAGGGACTACGAGACGTTTGGGAGGCTGATGGTGGAGAGTCACAACTCCCTCAGGTGAGGATGTGCCCACCCTGGGGCAGGGCAGGCTGCGTCGGGTCCTCCTGGGTTCCCCTGCCCGTGGGCCCCGCAGCGGGGGCAGCCAGAGCCGTGTCCTGCCCCATGTCTCTCGCGGCTCAGCCTGCCGGGGAGTTTTAGGAAAAGCCCCACAGGCCTCCGTGCCAGGGGGTGCTGGGACGAGGTCAGGTATGTTACAGACGCGCGCCGCTTACGGCAGCGCCCAGCGGGTCCCAGTGCTCGCAGTCTCACTTGTGTAGGTGTGCGCTTAAGGCAGCATGCTGGTTTGGGCTGGGATAGGGTTAATTTTCCTCACAGTAGCTAGCACGGGGCTATGGTTTGGATTTGTGCTGGAAAGTGTTGACAACACAGGGCTGATTTAGTTACTGCGGAGCAGGGCTTACACAGGGTCCAGGCCTTTTCTGCCTCTCCCCCACCCCGCAGCGAGCTGGCTGGGGGCACAAGGGGCTGGGAGGGGGCACGGCCGGGACAGCTGCCCCCAGGGCTGTCCCACACCGTATGGCGTCATGCTCAGCACACAGAGCTGGGGGAGAAGGAGGAAGGGGGGACGCTGGGAGTGATGGTGTTTGTCTCCCCAAGTAACGGTTACACGTGCTGGAGCCCTGCTTCCCTGGAGCTGGCTGAGCACCCGCCGGCCGAGGGGAAGTACTGAGTGAAGTCCTCATTTTGCTCGGCTTGCGTGCGCAGCAAAGAGCTGTCTTTATCTCAGCCCACAAGTTTTCTCGCTTCTACCCTTCCGATCCTCTCCCCCGTCCCACCGGGGAGGGGAGTGATCATTAAAACAAATTTGTTATGAGCATTCATTATATTAGTTTAGTAGTCGCTGGTCACAATGTTGATTTATTTGCTCTCAAAGTTGTTGTATTTGTTCTCAGAGTTGTGCTACGTAACACCTTACTTGCCGTATATGCTGTTTATCAGTATTTACGTGCTGTTTCTCACCTCTGGGAGCTGGATTAAGGTTATTGCTTTGCTGTACTGTGTAAGACTGGTTTATGGTGTGATAAAATTATTGGTCATGACACCAGTCTGGTATTTGTACTCAGCATTGCCGTCACCTCTGTACTTCGGGAGCCATCTGTCGGAAACTATTAATAATTACACTTATTACTTTTTCTCCTCGGAGAGCCAGCCGATGGGGGGACACCTTCCTCCATCTTCCCCTTCAGGGATCCGTGGCATCCTGCATTGCTGCCGGTCACTACGGCAATGGATGCACAAAGCAGCATGGTTCAGCTGCTCGTGGTGCAGGGGCTGCGGCCAGGGTGCAGGACAGGGCTGACCATGGGTCTCCTCCCTCCAGGGACGACTATGAAGTGAGCTGCCCGGAGCTGGACGAGCTGGTAGCGGCAGCCCTGGAGGTTGATGGCGTTTACGGCAGCAGGATGACGGGGGGAGGCTTCGGAGGCTGCACGGTGACGCTGCTGGAGGCTGGGGCTGCAGAGAGAGCCCAGCACCACATCCAGGTACGTGGCAGAAGAGTGCCAGGGGATTGACTTAAAGATCCCAAGGAAACGCTCGGGGCATGGCCCGGGGACGCTGCTGAAGCTGCGCTCCTGGGTTGGTGTAGCCCATCCAGGGCCGCGCAGGGGTAGCCCCAAGGCTGCTGGTGCCGCTGAGCTCTCGCAGGCAGTTCAGCACCGTGCTGGTCGCAGAGCACTGCCCAAGGACCTTACTGCCTTGAGGAAGCGAGTGAAAAGGTGCTGGGTGAGCTTCAGGAAGGCTAAATCTATCTAGGGAAAAGAATCCAAGCCAAGCTTAGGCAATGCTGAGCTTAATGCCGGCGGTTACAGCCCGGGAAAGATCTCAGTGCCATCATCAATGTTCTCTAAATCAGCAGCTCGGCATGCACTGGTAGCTGAAAACGCCAGCAAAATGGGATGTCAGGAAACCGGCGCTGTGAATGAGGCAGAGCCTCGTTTTGCTGCTGTATGAGATCGCGGTGCGCCCTGTAAATAGCCGGGGTGGGTTAAAGAAGGTGTCTGAAACGAGGGGAGACCGAAAGGGCTGTGCCTCTGCTGTCTGATGAGAAGCTGGGAAAGAGGGAACAGTGACCAGGAGTTACAAAACAGCGAAGGGCGTAGCTAGGGTGAGTGTGGAACTGACCCTCAAATCCTCCAAAATAAGAACCAGTGACCACCAGATGAGTTAGGAGAAAAACAGAGCCGAGGAAGCACCGCGCAGAGCTGGCGGCGAGTTTCTGCTGTCACCAGAGGCCGTGGAGGTCGGTGGCATCGGCAGGGTGAAAAAAGGGGTTGGAAAAAGTCAGAGAGCAGTCGATCAGGGGCTGCTGAAGGGTCAGCTTGGGGGTGTGCTGATGGCCCCCGCCCCATGCTGTGGGTGGACCAGGGGACCCCAGGCAGTGACCAGGGCAGCATAGTGTCCCCAAAGAGCATCTCACCTGGCTGCTGTTGGAGTGGCAGCTGGGCCAGACGCACGCTGGGCTGACGGGCAGGGCCTTTTCCCCGGCTCTGGCATCCCCCAGCCCGGCCTCTTGCTGCGGCGTGGTAGGGCCCCGGCGTGCCAGCGTGTACTGCTCCTCTTGTCTCCTAGGAGAAATACAGCGGCACAGCCACCTTCTACCTCACCAAACCCTCCGGAGGGGCAGCGGTGCTGCCCCTGTAGAGGAGCGACCACCTCGCCTGGGCTGGGATCACCCCCGCCGAGAGGCAGCTGCTTTCCTCGCTTCGCAAGGGATTCGATGTGTCCGTCTGCACCGTTTGCCTAATAAATGCAAAACATGTGCACAGTCGTTCCGCGCCCACCTGAGCTGAGCTCTGATGCCAAAGTCACCGGGGACCTTTCCTCAGAGGAGACTGGTTTCACTCCAGTTCACACTGGTGTAACGAGCCATTACCGGGGCCGTGGGGTCCAGCAGTGCCTCCGGAGCTGCGGTCGCAGGAGGGGATGGTGGTGGAGGAGCAGCAGGCACTGATGCTTGGCAGAAGCCCCTGCTTGGGTATCTGCTTCTGGCACGTGTCCTGCTGCTGCTGCAGGTGGGGGTATTGGGGGGATGATTTAAAAAAAAATAATTTTTTTTTAAAGAAAAGGAAGGAGGCAGACTGTAGAGAAAACATTTATTGAGTGCAAGAGGAAGCCATCTGATCAAAGACCCGCTGTCAGAGCAGGCTGCTGGGTCCGTGCTGGAAAGGCTGAATCGCCCCCAGCCCCAGGGACCAGCTGGGAATGACAGAGTGACGCTGTTCTGGTGCGAGGCATCGGCTGGGCGCGCAGCCGCCTTGCGCATGGGGATGGCCTGACGCCCGGGAGAGCGGCCACTGGCGGGCTGTGCTCTTCCCTGGGATCGCAGGATAGTCTTTGGTTAAAATGCTTGGAAGTGGGGCTCCCTTTTTAGGCAGTTTTCAGCGTTTTACCCTGGACCGCAAAGCACAGGGAAAGGGTCAGGGAGTCCTTGTGCAGGAGGAGGCACAGCTGGAGAGGAAACCCCAACCGCAAAGGTGAGACGGGAGCTGGGAGGCGGGCAGGCTAACGCCACTGGTACTTGCTCAGGAAAAATAAGTGCTTCTTGAAGGCACAGTAAGACCACAGGGTTGATGAAGTACCTCGACCCAAGTTCAAAACTGACCTAGCTCCAGCTGTAGTCCTGGAGACTTCTGTGGACCTTACTCATCCACGTGCATCTTTGGCTCAAACACGTCCAACCTGTCCCACGCAAACGAACAGCCCGGAGAGGAGCGGGAGCTCTCGGTGGTGTCAGTGCTGGAAAGTCTCCTTCCGAGTCCAAAAAAAAAGAAAAAAAAAGAAAAAAGAAAAAAAAAAGAAAAAAAAAAACAAAAAAGCCAAGGTCCAGCGTCCACATCAGGCAGGCGATGCTGCCGGGGAGAGCAGGCGGCCGCTGGTGTGGTTGGAAGCTCTAATCCAGAACGGTGGCAGCTGCTGCTGCGGGCAGGATCCTTGCTTTCGGCCAGCTCCTCGCCTGCTCCCGCGCAGCTGAAGCGCGCCAGGGAAACGCGCCGTTCAGCAAGACGTGGGGCCCAAGTGTTCTCCTTGGCAGAGGGCAGCGAGACGCCAGGCATCGTGCCCAGAGCCAGGAAAGGAGGCCCAGCAAGGTCTCAGCTCAGCCCTGCACCCAGCACCGTGCGAGGACAGCTAAAGCCGAGGGCTGGAGGAGGCTCAGAGACTTGCTCAGGATGATGACAGCGCCTGCTCTTCCCAGGGCTGCTCTTCCCTTGTGTTTTGTGAGGGCTCACAGGTCCCTTTATGGACGTTGCTGTTAGGCAAAAGGGCTTTTAAAAGACACCCAACATCTTCTGCCCCAACATCTCATGCTCTCCGCATCAGCCACGTGAGGAATCCCAGGCACCGTTCCCAGCTCCAGGCAGCACTACCTGGGCCATCCCTCGCCTCCAGGCGGCTCCCAGCCCCTCTGCGCGCCCGTGCTGCGGCTGGAGAGCACGGGGCTGGTGGATGCTGTGCAGCGAGCGGGTCTGGCCGCTGGCAGCCTTCTGCTGGAGTCTCCGGTGCTGGAGGATATCAGGCCCAGGGCAGAGCCCACCAGCTGATCGCCAGGCTTTCCACAGGGTTTAGTGGCCTTTGGGTCAAGCCCTTAACTAATTTCTTCCACTTACGCAGGTTTCTCAGCAGCCACAGTCCCAGTGTAGCCTCCACATTCAGCATAGATCTCATCCACCTCCATTTTTTTAATAAAATAATAAAATACGTTTATATATATTTATATATGTACTACGAAAACTGTACAATATTGTATGCAAAAAAAAATATGCATCAGAGGCCATCATGAGTAATGCTATACAAATGAAAGGCTATACTTTGCTGTCGTGGTACCAAATGTTAGCAGCGAAGGATAGACACAAATAGGTGCAGTAAGAAAGCATAGGTTACCCCAAGCCCCTGCCTTGCAGCTCTCCTAAAAAAAATGAAACAGAACAAAATAACCACCTCCAGTGGACAGGCAGGTTGCCAGAGAGCCTGGAGCAAAGGTGGAAACGGTGACCCTCTACAAATCAGGATGGTGCCAGCTGGGATCCTCTCAAAACTGAGGACCTGAGAATAAATCATTCTGTTCCATTTATCTGGGGAGGCTGGAGCCATCGAGACACCCGAATTTCGGCAGATGTATTTGGATGGATGGGCATTGAAGAATGTTCATGGAAAACATCCCTGTGGACCCTGCAGAACTGAGTCTGCAGAGCAGGACGGGGGGAAGAAGCTCTGAAGGATGAGCACACACTTGGTGACCCAACTGTGCCAGAGCTTTGAGTGCGCTGGGCTCCGAAGGAGAGGTCCAGAGCTTGAAGTGCCATGGAGGGTCTTTTCCCACAGGAGGAGCTGCCCAGGCACCGCGGCAGCGTCTGGATGAAGCACCCTTGGATCGTTCCACAAAGTCCTGCCATCTGAACACAAATGTCCCGCTGGCGGGCAGCCTGCCCTGGCTCAGGCCTCGTAGAACTGCCTCTCCATCTGTTTGGTGAGGGTCCCACTGGACATCACGGTCCGGCTCACAAACTCCTTGGTGACCTGTTTGGTGAGGGTGCTGCTGGCGCTCTCCACTCGCTGGGTCGTCATGAGCATGCCGTCTGCAACGAGAAGGTGGTCAGGACACCGCGCTAAGTACAGGGTCACAGGGAATAGGATCTGCTCTACCTGATGATTCCTGGCAGAGGTTTCTCCTTAAATACCACTTTCACTGATGGAAAACCTCCCCAGATCAAGTGCTTCAGTACTTTGCTATGTCAGTCAATAAGATGAATCTCCCAAACTCTCCATGTTGCAGCATGAACCCACGAGTCCATGAACTCAAGTGGGACAACATGGGACAACTACACTGCTGTAATTAAAGATGGTTGATTTTTCCTGCTCTGAAGAGATCTAACCTTGCAGGAAGAGCTATGGTTTGGTCCCTAGGGATAGTCTGGGGGACTCTGAAAACTCAGCGTTCCCTCTGTGACTGGGCAGCACATGGGGAAATGACTGCAGCTGCCTCTGGGGCAGAGCAGGGACACGGTGTCGGAAAGGGTCTGGTCCTCTTCGTCAGTCCCACCTGATGGACCCTCCCTCCCTGCCTTTGGCACTTGAGGTGAAAGCACCCTCAGACCTTTGGACAAACAGAGTTACCCTTTGCTTTCCGAGGGTTTCAAAGCAGACAGCAAGCCCCTACCTGTGAAGTGGGGATCCAGAGAGGAATGGCTGATGGTGGTTTTGGTGGTGTATTCGGTGGGGAAGTTGTACACTTCTTCTCTCATGTACTGCTGTCCTCCAAACTGGGAGAAAGTGCCTGGGGAGAAGGAAAAGGGACGAGTCAGCCAGGAAACGACAAGAAGCTTCCACCTCCTCAACCCTGCACAGTGAGCACCAACAGTCAGCTCAGGAGGCTTCTCTTGCTGACATCAGAGCCAGGCTTAGGAGGAACTGGGAGGACTGGGAAGGTCTTACACCTGTGCAGCGTAAGAAGCTGTAAGACAGAAGTTTCATAGTAAATTAAACACTGGCAGGTTCTCACGATCCTCCCTCATTCAGTGCATGAGGACTGGGACAGTGCTCACAAGGCACAGCATTGTCTTCGTGGAAGACAATGTCTCCGTGTCCTTCACGGAAAATGGAGTCACCACCAGAGCTGGAAAGGGACTCCCTTGTGTTCCCTGCTCTGAGAGGTTTTTTATCTTTGCACCTCCACAACGACATGGTACTGTACCTCCATCCTGAGATTCGATGGTGATGATGCCTTCTCTCTCTGGCCCAAAGCCTTGGGTGGTCTTGGCTTGCACTTTGAACTTGTATGGGACATTCTCACTCAGGTGGGGCACAGTCAGGGTAGTTTCTGGATTGTCTCCTTCGACGTAGATATTCCTGGGCTCCCCTAATCCACACAGACGTACCAGCGGTGAAGACAGACAGGAGTGACAGTCCCTCCAAACACTCCCCCCAGCTCTGGCTGCTGTCTTGGCTTTCCCTAAGCTTCGTGCCACCCGCAGGCTGTATGATCACACCCAGTTCTACCAAGGGTTAAGACAACCCGATTTCAGTACAGTGGTGACCCTCAACAACCAACCTCCACTGGGTTTGGGCTGTAATAAGCTACAGGTCCTTCCTCTTCCCACCACATTTGTTACACCAGACCATACAATGACGCAAAGCATCAGGGTCCAGCAGCTCCCAGGTCTGGAATCAGCCTCATGTCCCCACTTTGTCTGCACTGATGGAAGCAGACAACTTTGTTGCTGGTCACAGCAAAAATGCAGCAAGCTGTCACCTTTGCTGGAGGTATCTTGTGCTCTACACAGGGAACCGGGCTTCCACAGCCTGATACTGTACCTCCTCCATGCAGCATCTCACAGGTGACCATGTAGCCCAAGATGGACCCATTGGGCTTGCGGGGTCTCTCCCAGCTGAGCTGCAGGGAGTCAGGGCTGAGGGCGGTGAAAACCAGTGGTCCAGGAGCACTGGGTGTGCTCAGCGTGAAGGGTGAACCTGCAGGGTACGAGCGAGAGGTCAGTACCACAGAAGGTGGCGAGGAGCAGCCCAGGAGGGGTCTGCACACAGCATTTGTGAAACGAGCTGGAAGGTCTCAGCTATCTAGACAGCTAGTGGAAGGTGAGTGCATGGGGAAGAAGGTCCTATTTCTAAATGAAAGGAAGGAAAGGAGA